CTGCTGGAGAGCCTCTTGCTCACCTCTGGAGGCAGGCGCTCTCCGCAGACGGAAGTCAAGTTTCTGTGTTCATCACCCCTTGTTCAGAGTCTCATGATTTAAAGGAAAAATGCTAAAATTCTGTTGCTTTTCCTAATAGAATGCATGCACTGGTTTTAGTTCAGGGGGAGACTTGAAACCACTGATTTTCCGGATCTTACAAACGGCCTTTGTCCAGTCCCGTCACCGTCTTCCCAGCCCGCGTTCTTTGTGGCTGTTCTGAGGCCTGGCTCCAGGGGGAGCTCCGTGGCCTGCAGAGGCTCTTGGTGCTGCAGCCAGGGGCCACGTGTGGCCAGTGCCAGCGCAGGGGCACTGCCTTCCTGCAGCTGCTGGGGTGGGTGGCCGTTGGCAGCCCTGGCTTCAGCGTGATGCACACTGGGCACGTGCTAGAAACCCTCGCCCCTTTCCTCCCAGTGGACGGAGGCTTCAGCCGACCACCCGGCCAGGGGCCTGTGGCTGGGCAGAGTGGACTGCAGGGCTCTGTGGGCGGCGCCCTGGCTGCTAGAGTCCATCCCCGCGTTGGGGGGCCTAACGGTCCATTGAGGACATTTGCAGATGGCGTCCTCTGCCTGGGGGGTCTGGGTTCGTGAGACAGGATCCTTACATCTGCTGGGTTGCCAGTGAGCATAAACTGTGAAGTGTTTGAGCCTCGGATCAACTTTGTGTTGAGTGAGTGTGTGGTGTTAGCAATGGAGAGGGTCCTCTTTAGATTTAGTGTACACGCATGTGCATGTGTGGGTGTGTATGCGTGTGCTTGCATGTGGGTGTGCACATGAGTGTGCATTCGATCATGTGCATGTGTGTGCGCAGGAGTGTGCATGTGGAGAGAGAGGGATGGTTACCGGGCCCAGGAGGGGAGTGGGGTCAAGGGTCGGGGGCTGCCTTCCCGTGACTCCCAGCCAGGCTGCCGCAGGCTGCTCCTACTGTCTCACCTCCCGGCAGGTGCCACGCTGGCTGGGCACAGTGAACAGCAAGAGGGCACAGGAGCCTTTTGATTTGGGCCCCACAGGTCAGCCACTCAGGGCAGCTGGGGAGGCGGAGGGATCCGTGGGCAGTGGGCAGTGTGTGGGCTGCGCCCCCTTCCTTCTGCATGGCTTGGCAAAGCCGTCTCATTGTGAGCAGCTTCCCTGGGGTGCGAGTGGCACAGGAGACTGCGGGTACGGGAGCATCCCCCGACAGGTTCTGGGGTGTGTGTCCCCACTCGCCCTCACAGCGAGCCCCCACTAACATTGGCGTGTTCCAGATGGTTCTTTCAGGAGGGCAAGGGGGACGCCAGGAGGTCAGGCAGTAGCAGATTCAATCCCGATAGTTAGTTCTGGAAAGACACAGAAAAAATGAACTTCAAGACTGTGTAACGGCATTTAGAAAGCAGTTTAAGAGTCAGCTATAATCAATTAGAAAATGCCTGTGAATTTGGAGCTTTTTTTTTTTTTTTTTGGTCTGCATTTTGTACCTATTACCAGATATTCAGAACGAAACCAAACACCAACGGGCGAGGCTGTGTGACCCCAGCAGCCAGGGTTTCCATCCGAGAGTGACTGAAGGGGCAGTGTTTGGTCCACATCTGCAGAGCCGCCGCCAGGTGGTTCCGAGGATCGCAGGACGGCGGGCGTGCTTGCGTCTCCTCCGGGAAGCAGCTGGAATGGACACAGGGGCGGCGTGCGTAGGCGCCGCTGCCCAGTGCGTGGTGCGTGCGTGGCCGGCCTGACGGGCTGCAGGAGCGCATCCTCACGTGATCACCTTGTTGACTTAGGAAGTGGCTGGCGCCAGTCCCCGCGTTACCCCGCGGTCAGTGGTCAAGCTGGGACGGGCTCTGGGCCCTGGGCCCTGGGCCTGGCGCTGTGTTGTTTGAAATCACCTACAAACCTATTTTTCAGGTTCATCAGTGTCAGGCTGCTTGCTATGCACCTTACAGCTGGCAGGAGGCGCCAGTGAGCCCTACTGGGCTGAACTCTGGCTCCCAGAGCTGGTGACCAAGTGGGGTCTCACCTGTTGGAGCCCTGTGGCCAGTGTGGAGGGCGCCCCCTCCACTCGCCAGGCTCCATGTGCTTCCTCCGGTGTCTCCCCTCCTTTTCAGTTTTTCTTCTTAGCCACAAGGACCATTGGAGCATCTTGGGACCTCTGCACCTGCTTAATAGTGAGGACCCTAAAGAGGAGGCATTTGTGTGGGCTCCTTCCAAACCGGCCATTCTCTGAATTAACACAGTAATTGCACACTTTTTATTCCTCCAGTGAAAAGCAATAATGACTCCATTACAGGTTAACATGATTATCTTATGAAAAACAATGGTATTTTCCCTAAGAAAATCTGTGAGAGGAGGGGCATGGCTTCACATGTTTAGCACATCTTTTCTCTCTTTTTAAAAATTTTTTTAATTTGACAGGTAGAGCTACAGACAGTGAGAGAGAGAGAGAAAGGTCTTCCTTCCGTTGGTTCACCCCCCAAATAGCTGCTACGGCCGGCGCTGCGCCAATCTGAAGCCAGGAGCCAGGTGCTTCTCCTGGTATCCCATGGGGTGCAGGGCCCAAGCACTTGGGCCATCCTCCACTGCACTCCCGGGCCACAGCAGAGAGCTGGACTGGAAGAGGAGCAACCGGGACTAGAACCCGGCGCCCATATGGGATGCCGGCGCCGCAGTGGAAGATGAGCCAAGTGAGCCACGGCGCCGGCCCCAGCACATCTTTTCTCTTGATAGGAGGATCTGCTGCTGCGCGGTCTGTTATGGTGGAAGCGGAAGATCTGGCGGCTGCAGCCCTGCAGCCTCCTCACGCCAGCCCCTGCTCACCACGCTTCCACTTAGGGCGTTGCTGATTTCAGAAGCAGCCGTATAACCGTTGTGTCTTCCACTTGCAGTGCAGTGTTCGGTCAGCTGCACGAGCCCCCTGGCACTTGACTGTGAAACCGGCTGTGGGTTCCAGGAGGCTGCCGAGCCGCCGGCTGATGTGCACCCACGCCCAGCCCCGGTCACTTCGTAGAGGCCGGGTGTTGCATGGAACGCGTGCCCTGGCTGTCCTTGGGTCACCACTCCCACGCAGTGGTCAGGTGGCTGGTTTTTGTAAATGAAGACTTGAGTGAGTGCATGCTCTAGAGCTCGGGATGCCAGTGTTTGGTATTGAAGTGCTTGGCCCAGGCTCCTCTCTCCAGCTTCCTGCTAATGTGCACCCTGGGAGGCAGTAGGTGATGGTACTTGAGTCTCTGCCCCCGTCACGGGAGACTGGATTGAATTTCTGGCTGCCGGCTTTGACCTGGCTCAGCCTCAGCTGTTGCAGGCATTTGCAAAGTGAGCTGGTGGGTGGGAGATCTCTGTCCCTGAAATAAACAGACCACAATGAGGAGAAGTTGGTCGCTGCCTTTTGTGATCATGGCTTACGTAAAGTGGGAGAAGGGTGTGTCGTAAAGTGGGAGAAGGGTGTGTTGTACAGTGGGAGAAGGGTGTGTTGTACAGTGGGAGAAGGGTGTGTTGTAAAGTGGGAGAAGGGTGTGTCGTACAGTGGGAGAAGGGTGTGTCGTCAGTTCCCTGGTCCTATCAGATATCACCAGTGTTGTCCTGGCACAGCGGCTTCCCCATCCAGAAATGACACATTTCTCTGATGGATGCACACCTTGTACTGCTGCACCCTTTTATTTCTTTCAGAGATAAAAACCCACGTTCATGGTTTCTAGCATTGCACCTCGGTAAACAGTTGCTGAAAGCACCTCATGTGTATTGGATACCTTAATCCATCATTCCCGCCAGGTTTACGTTCCCAAACGGGAAGCCAGCCCCGAGCAGAGTCAGGCCAGTGTTTCAGCATCAGCAGCCGTGATGTAGTGTCTCTCCCAGTGAGCCATGATGTCACATGTCTCTCCTGAGATCTGTGACATCACGTGTGATGGCGTGTCTCCTCAGATCCACACGGGGCTGCAGCATGAGATCATCTGGCCCTGAAATCCGTGGTGTCACGTGTCCCCCTGAGATCTGTGATGTCACATGTGTCCCTGAGGTCACGTGTGATGCTGTGTCTCCCCAGATCTGCACGGGGCTACAGCACGAGATCATCTGGCCCTGAGATCCATGACATCACGTGTCCCCCTGAGATCTGTGACATCATTTGTCCCCTGAGATTCCTGACATCCCGTGTGATGCTGTGTCTTCCCAGATCCGCACGGGGCTGCAGAATGAGATCATCTGGCCCTGAGATCCATGACATCACGTGTCCCCCTGAGATCTGTGATGTCACATGTGTCCCTGAGGTCATGTTTGATGTTGTGTCTCTCCCTGAGATCCGTGACATCATGTGTCCCCTGAGATTTGTGACATCATTTGTCCCCCTGAGATCTGTGACGTCACGTGTCCCCTGAGATCCCTGACATCCCGTGTGATGCTGTGTCTCCACAGATCCACACGGGGCTGCAGCATGAGATCATCTGGCCCTGAGATCCGTGACGTCACGTGTCCCCTGAGATCCACGACATCCCATGTGATGGAGTGTCTCCCCAGATCACAGGGTTGCAGCACGAGATCATCTGGCCCTGAGATCCGTGGTGTCACGTGTCCCCCTGAGATCTGTGATGTCACATGTGTCCCTGAAGTCATGTGTGATGCTGTGTCTCCCCAGATCCGCACGGGGCTGCAGCACGAGATCATCTGGCCCTGAGATCCGTGACGTCACGTGTCTCCCTGAGATCTGTCATGTCACATGTGTCCCTGAAGTCATGTGTGATGCTGTGTCTCCCCAGATCCGCACGGGGCTGCAGCACGAGATCATCTGGCCCTGAGATCCATGATGTCACGTGTCCCCCTGAGATCTGTGATGTCAATGTGTCCCTGAGGTCACGTGTGATGCTGTGTCTCCCCAGATCCACACGGGGCTGCAGCACGAGGTCATCTGGCCCTGAGATCCGTGACGTCACGTGTCTCCCTGAGATCTGTGATGTCACATGTGTCCCTGAGGTCACGTGTGATGCTGTGTCTCCCCAGATCCACACGGGGCTGCAGCATGAGATCATCTGGCCCTGCCAGCCCAGCTGCCTTCCCCTGGACGAGAAGCTTCTTCCCCAGCTGCTCAAGGACGCCGGCTACGCCACCCACATGGTGGGCAAGTGGCACCTCGGAATGTACCGGAAGGAGTGCCTCCCCACCCGCCGTGGCTTCGACACCTACTTCGGTAATGGCCGCGCGCGTGCTGTGTTCTCTGTGCGGCCGTCTGGGAAGCACAGCCCCCGGTGCCTCCATAAATGGGACGCTCTGGGGCCCCGGTGGGCGATGCCCCTGCCTGGCACTGGGTGCCCCCGGGAGCCTGTGTGTCCACAGCACGGCCCCTGCTGGTGGGGACCCTTGTCCCCTAGCGGACACACGCGGGTGATTTCACCTCCAGGCCAACGTGACGCACGTTTCCTTCATGCAGCCCCTTCCGTGGCCTGGACGCAGAGTTTGCTCTTTTTCCTGGGGAGCACGGGCACCCTCTGGCACCTCTCCCTCTGCTGAGATCTGTTTTTAAAATCACTGGTGGATTGAACGTAAGGTAAAAGTGGGGAAGGTAATTAACCCGCGGTCCCGGGGGACCCTACGAAGGCAGCGTCGCAGGCTTCACAGCCCCGTGACGGTCAGGGGTGGAAGAGGGTTCCGATGGGAGCCCCTCACCCCTGCTGCGCCTCTGCCGTGATTGCCGATTGCGCCCACGGCAGCGACAGCCCCTCTGTCACCTCCTTTTTATGCCCAGTGGATTTCTCTGCAGCTGCTTATCTCCCTGCACACCTCACTGTCTGTGTCTTCATTCTGCCACAAGCACGCTGGACACACACAGAACCACACGAGGGCACGGGGAGACGGGGGAGCTTCATGGCGCCTGGTGGCACAGAGGCCAGGGTGGCTGCAGGCGTGGACATTCCACTCCGAGACGTGAGAGTTCTCATTTCCAAAGAAGGAGAGGAGAAGGGAACAGTAAGAGCCCCATTACTTCCAGGAGGGGCGGGAGCCGGGTGCTCAGGAAGCAGGAAGCCGTCTCTGGCTCCGAGACCTGAGATTGCTCCCTGGGGAGAAGGCGAGGCAGACAGCATCCTTAGAAACAGCACCGGGGGGTTTTCTTTCCTTTTTTTTTTTTTAACTTTTATTTAATGAATATAAATTTCCAAAGTACGGCTTATGGATTACAATGGCTTCCCCCCCATATCGTCTCTCCCACCCGCAACCCTCCCCTTTCCCACTCCCTCTCCCCTTCCATTCACATCAAGATTCATTTTCGATTCTCTTTATATACAGAAGATCAGTTTAGCATACATTAAGTAAGGATTTCAACAGTTTGCTCCCACACAAACATAAAGTGAAAAATAATAGATGATTTTTAAAATGATGATGAAATCAGATCAGACCTATTGTCATGTTTACATGTTTAATCCCAGTGAGAGTCAAGTTGGGAGTTGATAATTTCTTTTCTTTTTTCTTTCTTTTTTTTTTTTTTACAGAAGATCAGTTTAGTATACATTAAGTAAAGATTTCAACATAGAAACACAAAGCGAAATATACTGTTTGTATTGTAGCATTAAGTCTCAATGTACAGCACATTAAGGACAGAGATCCTACATGAGGAGTAAGTGCACAATGACTCCTGTTGTTGACTTTACAAATTGACACTCCTGTTTATGGCATCAGTAATCTCCCTATGCACCAGTCATGAGTTTCCAAGGCTATGGAAGCCTTCTGAGTTCACCGACTCTTATCTTGTTTAGACAAGGTCATAGTCAAAGTGGAGGTTCTCTCCTCCCTTCAGAGAAAGGTACCTCCTTCTTTGAAGACCTGTTCTTTCCACTGGGATCTCACTCACAGAGATCTTTCATTTAGGTTTTGGGTTTGTGTGTGTTTTTTTTTTTTTTTTTTTTTTTTTTTTTTTTTTTTTTTTTTTTTTTTTTTGCCAGAGTGTCTTGGCTTTCCATGCCTGAAATACTCTCATGGGCTTTTCAGCCAGATCCGAATGCCTTTAGGGCTGATTCTGAGGCCAGAGTGCTGTTTAGGACATCTGCCATTCTATGAGTCTGCTGAGTATCTCACTTCCCATGTTGGATCACTCTCCCCTTTATTTATTCTATCGGTTAGTATTAGCAGGTAGTAGACTTGTTTATGTGCTTCCTTTGACTCTTAGTCCTTTCATTATGATCAATTGTGAACTGAAATTGATCACTTGGACTGGTGAGATGGCATTGGTACATGCCACCTTGATGGGATTAAATTGGAGTCCCCTGGTATGTTTCTAACTCTACCATTTGGGGCTTGAGCATGTCCCAAATTGTACATCTCTTCCCTCTCTTATTCCTACTCTTATGTTTAACAGGGATCACATTTCAGTTAAATTTCAACACTTAAGAATAACTGTGTATTAATTACAGAATTAAACCAGTCATATTAAGTAGAACAGACAAAATAACTACTAAGAGGGATAATGTATTAAGTTGTTCATTAACAGTCAGGGCTATGCTGATCAAGTCACCGTTTTTCATAGTGTCCGTTTCACTTCAGGAGGTTTCCTTTTTGGTGTTGAGTCAGTTGTCACCGATCAGGGAGAACATATGGTATTTGTCCCTTTGGCACTGGCTTATTTCACTCAGCATGATGTGTTCCAGATTCCTCCATTTTGTTGCAAATGACTGGATTTCATTGTTTCTTACTGTGGTATAGTATTCTAAAGAATACATGTCCCATAATTTCTTTATCCAGTCTACCGTTGATGGGCATTTAGGTTGGTTCCAGGTCTTAGCTATTGTGAATTGAGCTGCAATAAACATTAGGCTGCAGACCGCTTTTTTGTTTGCCAATTTAAATTCCTTTGGGTAAATTCCAAGGAGTGGGATGGACCGGTGGGTTTTCTGTACACATTTCTGGAGATACACACTTCTGTTCAAGGGAGAGCCAGAGCAAAGAAGAGCGACTCGGAAGTCATTCATACGGGGCCAAAACAAAGCGGTGGGAGCAGACCGATCCAGGACTGAAATCCACAGGTCTACGGGGCCTCCATCGCAGAGCAGCGGTCCTGCCAGGAGCCCTGGCAGCCATCGCTAATCAATTGAGTCCCACTCCCACCCAGGCTCCCCTGCAGACATTGCCAATCAAGTGAGCCCCACTGCCATCCAGGTTCCCCTGCAGGCATTGCTAATTAAGTGAGCCCCACTGCCATCCAGGTTCCCCTGCAGGCATTGCTAATCAAGTGAGCCCCACTCCCACCCAGGCACCCCGGCAGACATTGCTAATCAAGAGAGCCCCACTGCCATCCAGGTTCCCCTGCAGGCATTGCTAATCAAGTGAGCCCCATTCCCACCCAGGCACCCCAGCAGACATTGCTAATCAAGTGAGCCCTACTCCCACCCAGGCACCCCGGCAGACATTGCTAATCAAGAGAGCCCCACTCCCACCCAGGCACCCCAGCAGGCATTGCTAATCAAGAGAGCCCTACTCCCACCCAGGCACCCCGGCAGACATTCCAATCAACCGTGGCAATCTTTTGGATGCACATGGATGTATCCACGGTGACCTCAAACACTTGTTAAAATCAGACTTGGGGTGAAATCATGTTCCTACGAGAGAGTTTCTAGAACATAGAGCCAGTATATCCTTTGACGTTTTTCACCCAGGCCTTCACCCATGAATGCAGCCAAGTTGTATACTAAAAAATCAGATAGAGAAGGTAGAAGTGACAGCCCAGGTGAACAATGAACACTCCACCTTCCTACAAAGAGGGACCTGGGGCCAGAGGGTGTGCTGACCACACAGCTGCCCTCACTGTGACAGCTCCGGTGCGGTGCCCAAAAGCGTGGTCAGAAGGTGTTTCCCGGTCTTTACCCCACGTCTTAGCCCCTAAGCAGGGGTATACGCTAGGTGTACACTTTCACGTGGGGCAGTGAGTGCGGGTAACCCTGTGCAGAGAGAGACCCACCACGGGAAGACCAGAGAGCTGCCCGCGGCGAGAAAGGCTGGGGATGCAACAAGAGGAGGGGCCAGCAGCCCCTGCTGGGTAGGGGTGCGGCTCTAACTGAACACACAGATGGGCTGCAGCTCAGGGGTGCTGTGCGTGAGACTTTCAGCTTTCATGTATTCCTCACGGGGTCTCCTTCCCAGTCCAGGGGGACAAACAGATGCATCATGGGTAAGTGGGCACAGTGGAGTGTGAGGGGGTGGAGCTACAGGTGCTTCATGGGAATGTGGGCACACTAGATTGGCATGTGAGGGGGTGGAGCTACAGGTGCTTCATGGGAATGTGGGCACACTAGATTGGCATGTGAGGGGTGGAGTCACAGGTGCATCATGGGAACGTGAGTGTGCTGGATGGGCATGTGAGGGGTGGAGTCACAGGTGCATCATGGGAATGTGGGCACACTAGATTGGCATGTGAGGGGGTGGAGTCACAGGTGCTTCATGGGAATGTGGGCACACTAGATTGGCATGTGAGGGGGTGGAGTCACAGGTGCATCATGGGAACGTGAGTGTGCTGGATGGGCATCTGAGGGGGTGGAGCTATGTGCAGGGCTGCTCAGTACACTCTGGGCAATTGCTCCAGCTCATTTTCTCCCCCAGCTCCCTGCCTGCCCCTTTTATCAGCTGGAGAACCGTGTAGGGGCCCAGCCCTGTGAGTGGTGACCATTCTCCTCACGTGCTGACAGGCGGCTTCCTCTGCAGGCTCAGGGTGTGGCCGTCGGTCACCGTGGGCGTGGGGAGCTCTATGGCGGTCTGGGGGCCAGCCTGTGAGTTCGTGGTTCTGGGTGCATCTCAGAGCAGTATCACTCACTGTCCCGTTCATGTCTTCCGTTGAGCACGTCCATGTGTGCCTCCTCCCAAATCACAGAGAGCTGTTGACGTTCACGAGAGGCCCTGAGCGGAGTTTTTTGGCTCTAATATCAAGTAATTATCAAAAAACACCCACAAAACTCCAAAATCACAGTGCTTGCCACGCTAAGCACTCACGTGAGGGCTGAGTTTTCCCGCATGGATGCATTTCTTTCCCCGCTTATTTTACGTTGCTCAGCATATCCTTAGAAAAGATGGTCGCCGACAGTCGTCTTAGGAGCTGGAGTTGTGGTGCAGTGGCTGACCTGATGCCTGGATACCTGCATCCCGTTTCAGAACGCCAGGGTCTGTGTCCTGCCTGCTTCCCGTCCAGCTTCCTGCTACAGTGCGTGCTGGGAGGCAGCAGGTGACAGCTCGAGGGTCCCTGCCACTCATGTGGGAGACCCAGCCTGGGATTCTGGCTCCTGGCTTCAGCCTGGCCCGGCCCCAGCCTTTTTTTTTTTTTTTTTTTTTTATTCGAAAGGCACAGAGAGAGAGAGAGAGAAGAGAGAGGTCTTCCATCTGTTGGTTCACCGTTCAAATGGCTGCAACGGCTGGGTCTGCGCCAGGCCAAAGCCAGGAGCCAGCAGTCTTTTATGGGTCTCCCATGTGCATGCCAGGACCCAAGCACTTGAGCCATGTGCTGCTGCTTTCCCAGGCACGTTAACAGGGAACTGGGTCAGAACTGGAGCAGCTGGGACTTGAACCGGTGCCTGTATGGGATGCTGGCGCTGCTACACCACAGCGCAGGCACCTCCAGCCTAGCTTTTGCAGGAATTTAGGGGCAGAGGACCAGCAGATGGATGATCTCTCTGTCACTCTGCCTTTCAAAAAAAAAATAGAAAATGAATTTAAAAAATGTTAAAGATATATTGAGATGCAGGTACTAATTATACTCAGGATATTAAATGTATTGGCTCATGGAAAAGGAAGACTTAATTAAAAATGTGTTGACAGAGAAGCTGTAGAAGGCTGTTAATTTCATTAAAGGGAAGACGGCTCAGGCCTGGGGGAGGGCCAGGCTGGTTCTGTGGTCCTCATTTTGAGTTAGCAGCAGTGTGGGGCAGGAGAGAGCCGGGAGCCCAGTGGGGGCGGGGCTTACTGCTGTCCGTCGCTTGATTGACGTGTGGTTCACAGGCACATGGCTCGCCCGGTTAAAGTGTACAGTTCAGTGGCTTTTACTAAACGCCCGGGGTTGCTCCCCTGTCCTACATGTAGCTGTCGCCCTTCCTGTACCTCCGCCGGTCCACGAGCTGCCTCTGGATTGCCGGTCTTGGGCATTTTATGTAAACAGTCCTATCACGTGCAGCAAGCTTACTGTAATGGTTCAGGGAACTGGGGAGCATTTGCAGAAATGCCTGCTACTTGTAAAGACCCAGTTCCTTTCCTGCTTGGGTCTGACCCGTGTGTGCTGCTGCGGTTGGGGTGAGCCTCTCGGTGCTGGGCTTGGTCAGCCCTTGGCGCTGGGGTTCTTGGGAAGTGTGTTGGGAAATGTTGTCTCTCCCACCAGCTGGTGTCAGCATCCGACTGCCGGTGACGCCTGGTTGCTCTGCCGGGAAGCAGTCCCCAGCTCGGGAGCTGCAGCACGGAGGGTCCCGTGGACCCGCCTCACACCGCTTAACCGTGACCTTGTATGATTTTTGCCCTTAGCTTTCAAGGACTCTGATGCTGCCACTTTCACTGAATTCAAACTGTGGTCTTTTTCAACTAGGGCTTGGGATCACTTCCTCTGCCAGTTGCATGAAGGAGCCTGCGTTCTGGCGATGTGAGCAGCAGAGCTGAGGCTCTAGGGCAGCGTAGCCACGCCTTCTGCTGCCGGTCCGGGTGACAGGGGCGGGTGCTCTGGTTGGCTCTGTCCCGGGGTCCCTGGCACCAGTGGGGCACACGCCGAAGCGTCCCTGAGCCGAGCTGACTGTCCGTCTTCCCTTCCCGCGCCAGGCTACCTGCTGGGCAGTGAAGATTACTATTCCCACGAGCGCTGCACCCCGATCCACGCCCTCAACGTCACGCGCTGTGCTCTGGATTTTCGAGACGGCGAGGAGGTGGCGACAGGTTACAAGAACATGTACTCAACGAACGTGTTTACCGAACGGGCCACAGCCCTAATAGCTGACCATCCGCCCCAGAAGGTGAGGCTCGCTCTGCCCGACCCCCGGGGCCTTGTTGGGATCACAGGCTGGGCGGGGCCAAGGCCGCAGGTGGGCGGAGCGTCGGCCAGGCTGGCAGAGAGCAGGCCTGGGCCCCATCCCCGGTGGTGCCCTGCACCCCGGGGAGACCACACATCCCCTCTTGGGAGAAACCTGAACGGCTGCGTCTGAACAGAGAGGTCCCACATCACACACACCTGGGAAATTCTGTGTCCGTAGCAGTCTGGTTCCCTGGGTTTGGTGTTTCCGGTGCTGAGTGTGACTGTTAGAGCAGGTGGCACTGGCCCAAGGCTTCCTTGTGGCAAGCGCTAGGCTTGCTTGGGGCGAATCTTCTAAACCTGTTTCTCCCGCCTGGAGGCAGTTTGGATCATTCTGTACCTTTTGTTTTCCTGTGTTGATGTTGGAATCCGCTGTCAGTTTCTGCCAGAGGCTCTGTTTTAAGTGTGGCTTCTGCCAGGGCCGCAGCCCAGTGGGGAAAGTAGGGGTCTTAAGGCATCCAGGCTTCTACCCCGCCCACTGACCACACTGCGGCTCTCGGGGCACTGGTGCTGAGATCCGCTGGCTGAGCTGCCCGCAAAAGAACAAGCGAGTCGGACAAACCCAAGCGTGTCACAACTGTTTTTTTAAGATGTATTTTATGTATTTGAAATAGAGTTACAGAGGTAGAGATGCACACACGTACGTACACACACACACAGTGTGAGAGAGAGAGATCTTCCATCCAGTGGTTTACTCCCTAAATGGCCGCAGTGGCCACAATGGCCAGAGCAGGGCTGGTCCAAAGCCAGGAGCCAGGAGCTTCCTCTGGATCACCCATCCGGGTGCAGGGGCCCAAGCACTCGGGCCATCTTCCACTGCTTTCCCAGGCCACAGCAGAGAGCTGGATCGGATGAGGAGCAGCCAGGGCTTGAACCAGCTCCTGTATGGGGTGCTGGCGCTGCTGACCTGGGATTTAACCCACTGCACCACAACATCAGCCTTGCTGCTGTTTTGTTTTGTTCTGTTTTAAAGATTTATTTATTTATTTGAAGGGCAGAGTTACAGAGAGAGAGGGAGAGAGAGAGAGAGAGATCAATCTTCCATCTGCTGGTTCACTCCCCAGATGGCTGCAATGGCTGGAGTTGGACATGTCCAAAGCCAGGATCCAGGAGCTCCTTCCAGGTCTCCCATGTGGGTTCAGAGACCCAAGCACTTGGGCCGTCTTCCACTGCTTTCTCAGGTGCATTGGCAGGGAGCTGGATCAGAAGTGGAGCTGCCGGGACTCGAACTGGCACCCATATGGGATGCCAGCACTTTAGGCAGAGGCTTTATCCGCTGTACCACAGTGCAGGCCCCACTGCTGTTGTTGTTAACCCAGAGTTGGCCCCGTGAGTGGAAGTGTAAGGTGATTCCCCCGCCATTAGCTTGTACGTGCTTTGCAAGTCGGGTAGAGGCTTGTGATGTTCGTGATGTCAGGCAGTGGGCTCAGAGCCTGGCTTCCTGCAGATGCACCTGCAGACTGCCCATCCGTGGGAGCGGGGTGGCAGTCTGCTCCTTACCTGGTGCCTCCAGGTCGCTTGCCTCGCCTCTCTGACCGGTCCTGCAGGCGCTTGGTGCAGAGCACAACGTGGGTTCTGCTTTATGCGCCTGCTCAGCCGTGGTGCCGGCCACCGATTCGTCTCTGATGTGTTTTTTTTCCCTGGTTCTGCCTTTACGGGGGCGGAGGAGGTGGGAGGTCCTTCCCTGATTTCTGTCTGTTCTCAGCTTTGCCCTACTTTTGGCTTTTTTAATCACTCTTCTGTGCTGATGTCTTGGAGCTATGGAACGCTGAGAAATGGGAACATCTTCTTAAAAAGGTCTTTACGTCGGGGTCTCACCCGTGGATTCACAGTTGGGAAGCTAGCCGCCGGGTCATTGGCTCAAGTTCCCAGTTTGCTATCTCATGCTTGGAATTTTGTGGATACGGCTCACACCCCAAGAGGAAAGCGGGGTCCTAAGGGGCAGTGTGTTATCCTTCTGGATAGGCAGCTTGTCGCTCGTAAGCCACCTTGTTCGTTCAAGGTCACGGAGCCACTGAGCGTCGGGGCCAGAATTCACTCTCACGCAGTCTGACTTGGGATTCACAGGGTGAGTCGGCCTGCCCGAGTCCTGATCCCACCCAGTGGCTGCAGTGCTGGCCGGACGTTCGGATCCCCCGGGAAACCTGTGGGAGGCACTGATGCCATGTCCCGCGGTCCACGGGCCACTGCTGCTTCATTGCTGTCCTCCCCCACGCCCCCCGGGATCCTGCCATGCCTCTGTGTGGACATCCCATGCAGTCCGGAGCCTTCTGCCGCAGGCCTCCAACAGAGCCGGGTGGAAGCCGACCTCTGTTTTGGGGTCTCAGTCTGACAGCAGCTTCATCCCAGCGGCTGGCGGCTCCCGCAGCACGGGTGTGCTCCAGCAGGGCCCCCTAGCGCGGAGCTGGGTGATGCTCGTTCGTGGGTGGCTGGCTTGACTGGCGCGGTGGGAAAACACGGCAGCTGGGGGCCACAGGGGGTGGGAGCCGCAAGCCATCGTGTTGGTGGTCCCTCCTGTGTCTGACTGACGCCGTGGCAGGCGGACCCCGTCCTCCCCAGCGTGCTCAGAGTGCGATTTGAGGAATAAGCATGAATGAAGAACATCGTCGTAACCCAGGAATGTTCTAGAAAGCTAACGTGGACAGTGTCCCGCGTGGTGCCATGAGCCACGCTTCCTGTGTTATCCCCGTGTCCCAGCCAATTCTGTGCTGATTTCTCAGGTGCCAGAGACCCACGGGATGCAGGTGACGTTTCCTGAGATGGACATCACGAACCCCTGAGCCAACCTAAAACTGGGCCTTTTGTTTCTTTAAGAATTAGTTTGTTTGTTTAAAAGACAGAGGGACAAAGACAAAGAAACAGAGAGGTCTTCCATCTGCTGGCTCATTCCCCAAACGGCCACAATAGCCAGGGCTGGGCCAGGCTGAAGCCAGGAGGCTGGAGCTGCATCTGGGTCTCCACGTGGATGGCAGGGGCCCACGTACCTGGGCCGTGTTCCACTGCTTCCCCAAGTGCGTTAGCAGGCGCTGGATTGGAAGTGGAGCAGCCAGGACTCCGTCCAGCTCTGTGATGTGGGATGCCGTCTGCCGTAGCCGGCGTCGGCTTCCCCCGCTGCACCCCAGCCCCAGCCATGGAGCTGTTTCACAGAGCACTTGAGGGGAGAAGCCTGGAGCTGTGGAGCGACAGAGGCAGCGCGGCTGGAGGAAGGGCAGCGGCTGTGACCGCGTCCATGTGAACAGGGGTCTGGATGCAGGAAAGGACAAGGGGGCGCTCGGGCTCCCACGTCCACCCCGGCGCCCGAGAGGCGGAGGTGGCCCGGCCTGCAGCGAGGCCCTGAGTTCTGGGTTCCCGGAAGTCTGACCGATGCAGCGGCGTGGGCTGGGCAGCCGCTCCAGTGTTTTCAGTCCCTGCGGAGTGCGGGTGGTGGCTGCGGCCCCCAGGGAAGAATTAGGAGAAAGAGCTCGGGTTGTTTGGTTGCGTTCCACCAGGTGGGGGCAGTGCCTTCCGACCAGGGATTTCTAAGGTCTTACACTGGGGCCCGGAGCCCTTCCTGACCGAGTCCTGCCCCAGCGTCACCTGTGCCCCTCCCCGCCCCACCCCAGGGCTGCCGCTGACCCGGGAGGGGCAGAAGCACAGCTCGCAGGCTCCTGGGGGGCCTGGGAGTTACGCTGACAAAACACAGATCAACAGAACACAGGCGGGAGCACAGGAAACCAAGACCCGCAGAGTGGGCGGAGCCACATGCTTAAGGACTCAGCTGGACAAAGAGCACGCCTGTCCATGCCTCCCTGAACCCGAGCAGAGACGGACAGATCCCCCCAGGTCTCCGAGGCCTGTGAGGCGACGTGGCTGTGCCGTGCCTCTCTGTTCACCTCTCTTCTGTTGATGTACAGAGAACGGGTTCCATACGCACAATTTTAAGCACAGAAGGATACTTCCTGCCCTTCTCCCTTCCTCCTCCCTTTTTCTTTTAATGTTTGCGGCAACAAACTTGCAGTTTGCTTGATAATCGCAGACTGAATCCTCCACTGCATAAAGAAGTTGACAAGGGGCTGTGGAAAGACCAGACCTGCAGGTGTACAGACCAGGGCTGGCGACAGTGAGCAAGTCCCAGGGCGTCAGTGCTGGCTTTTGGTACTCTGTGTATTAGCGACCAGGAGTCAGAGGAAACATTCTTGTGTTAACACCTTTCTTTGGAGAAGTGTTGGCTGTGGTCCTTACGATGGGTGAGGCAAGGTGTCACCCAGGATCGGGGAGACAGAGGGGAGACCCCAGAAAGTCAGGGAGCAGTGGTGGTGGTAACCCCATTTCTCTTACTCCAGCCTCTGGTTACCAGCTGGAGTGTATACGTGGAGTCGTCAGCAATTTCTGTGTGATATGTCCCATTTTTATAAAAGGAGGAGGCCAGTGCTGTCTAGCAGGTGAAGCCACTGCCTGCAGTGCCAGCAGCCCATATGGGCACTGGTTCAAGACCTGGCTGCTCCACTTCTGATCCAGCTCCCTGCTACGGATTGAGAAAGCAGTAGAAGACGGCCCAAGTCCTTGGGAACCAGCACCTGCATGGGAGACCCAGAAGAAGCTCCTAACTCCTGGCTTCGGATCAGCTCAGTCCCAGCCATTGCAGCCATTTAGGGAGTGAACCACTGGATGGAAGACTTTTCTCTCTCTGCCTCTGCCTCTCTGTCTCTGCCTCTCAATGTAAGTGGGTTGCCATTTATTGTAGCTGCTGATTTTTTAAAAAGATTCATTTATTTATTTGAAAGTTAGAGTTACACAGAGAGAGGAGAGGCGGGGGGGGGGGGAGAAAGAGAGAGAGAGAGAGAGAGAGGTCTTCCATCTGATGGTTCACTCCCCAATTGGCCGCAATGGCCAGAGCTGCACTGATCCGAAGCCAGGAGCCAGGAGCTTCTTCCGGGTCTCCCACGTGGGTGCAGGGGCCCAAGGACTTGAGCCATCTTCTCCTGCTTTCCCAGGCCATAGCGAAAGCTTGATGGGAAGTGGAACAGCTGGGACTTGAACCGGCACCCATGTGGGATGCCAGGGCATTAACCCACTGCGCCATAGCGCCAGCCCCAGCTACTGATTTGTAATCCTGTCAGCTTCTAGACCTCAGCTGGTGGCTGCAGCCGGCTGTGCCAGGGGCCGCACACCCGGTGCTCGGCCCCAGCCACAGAGCCCTGCCGTGACCCTGCACGTTTTTCCCCCAGCCCTCTCTGCCTGGGTCATTCTCGCCTGTGGGCTCTGGGGCCTCTGCTGTGGTCTGCAGGAACCATGCGTGAGCTGTGTGTGTTGGGGGTGGGCTGGGGTGGGGTCGGGGGCAGAGGCAGAGCTTGGTGTCCGAGGTCGTGGTGTTGGCTCTGGCGTGGGAGTCTGGAGTGTTTTCCCACGGAGGTAACCCACAGACGGTACACTGGGCCCATGTAGGCGTCAGGGCCATCTGGTCACCCACCTGCTTACTTGAATGTTTCTAGTGATGACTGATACTTAGAAACTCTTAACAATTCTAACTCTGGGAGGATGACGTCTCCAAGTCCTAAAGACTGATCTAGAGACAACCTTGCTGGTGTCCCTCGAGCGCGGTGTGGACGCTCTGCTCTGCCACGGGACGCGTGATGCATGGGCACCCGCACCCTGCCCACCGTGAGACTCCACTCCCCGCTCTCCCCTTTGCCTTTTCCAGTTGAGATTTCAGTGTCTGACATACTTGAACAAATTCATGTGCTTATTTCTGAGCCGCAGGGCTGCTTCTGCGTGTTTCCAGCTCATGAGAGAACGGCACGGGACCTCAGCGTTCAGAGAGGTGCCTTGGAGAGGAGAGGCTGAGCTGGAAGGGCCCGGGTGAGGGCTGTGCACCGGGCAGCGGCGGCTCAGGCTGCTCGGCCTGCGGGGAGACCGTCGGCCTGGTCCCACGTCAAAGGCCAGCTGGCTCGGCACTTACGTGCTGCAATGCTCCCTGAAGGGTGGACTCAGTCCCAGGTGGGAGTGTCTCGCGGGTGACCCATCACCGCGGGTGACCGTGCCTTTGCCTGCAGGAAACTGCTCTTCAGTTAGCGCCGGCCTGGGCGAGGCTGCGACCATTCAGCTTCAGTTAACTGAGTTGTAGACTGGATACAGCGTGGGTGGTTGGGGTATTAAGTGAGACGGAATGTGTGGATTAGCATCATGGTTTCATGCCGAATATACCGTCACAGTTACTGCTGTCGTTTGCTTGGCTCCGGGCCTTTGAGGCCGTTGAAGGGCCTTGCTTTTAGCTGTCATCTTTTGTTAGGTTTGGTAGTATCTTTATTGAGGCGTGGTTTACCCAGCCAATAAACCCACCAGTTGAAGGGCAGGATTCACAGAAATTCACCATGTTGTGTAGCGTTCATTGCGCTGTTGAGAAACCTGGCACCTGTCACTCACTTGCTTGTCTTCCCTCCCTCCCTCCCTCCCTCCCTTCCTTCCTTCCTTCCTTCCTTCCTTTTTAAACACTTAATTTTTAATTCAAGAGGCAGAGTTACAGACAGGGAGACAGAGATCTTCCATCCACTGGTTCACTCCCCAAATGGCTGCAATGGCCAGAGCTGGGCTGATCCAAAGCCAGGAGCTTCCTCCAGGTCTCCAATGTGGGTGCAGGAGACCAAGCACTTGGGCCATCTTCTGCAGCTTTCCCAGGTGCATTAGCAGAGACCTGGATGGGCAGAGTAGCAGCTGGGACATGAACTGGTGCCCATCTGTGGTGTGTGCACCACAGGCGTGGGCCTAACCCACTGTGCCACAGCGCCGGCCCCGTTCACTGCCTTTTCTACCCCCCATCCCGGGCTTTGCTGCAGGTGGCGTTAGGCACTATGTGCCTGGCTCCTCCCCTTCTGCATAGCGTTTTCTAGATTCATCTGTTGTAGATGTGTCAACACCTCGTTCCTTTTACTGGCAGAAATCGCTGAAGCCATGCCGTGTTTTGTTTACCTGTCAGCTGCTGGACACTGGCGTCACTTCCGCTTTCTTGGCCGTGATGGGGCGTGTTTCAGGGACCAGGCGTACAAGCTTTGTGTGGATGTGTGCTGTGCCCTCAGGAGGTGACGCTGTGCTGAGCGACTTCAGGGAAGCCTGGTTTTCTGCAGAGCGGCTGCACACGCTGTTCTGTCTGCTGTGAGCCATCGGTGAGGGTGCCGGTTTCGCCCAGTCGTCACCGACACTAGTTGTCTTCCATTTTTTAAAAGTTTATTTATTTGAGAATCATAGTTAGAGGGAGGGAGGGGCCTTCCATCCATTGGTTCACTCCCAAAATGACTACAATGGTCAGAGCTGGGCTGATCTGAAGCCAGGAGCTTCTTCCAGGTCTCCCAGGTGGGTGCAGGGGCCCAAGGACTTGGGCCATCTTCTTCTGCTTTCCCAGGCCACAGCAGAGAGCTGGATCAGAAGTGGAGCAGCCGGGATGTGAACTGGTACCCTTATGGGATGTCAGCACTGCAGGCAGATGCCTAGCCTACTACACCAGAGTGCTGGTCCCGTTTTCTATTTTTTTTTTTTTAAAGTATTTTACTTATTTGAAAGACAGAGTTACAGAAAGAGGCAAAGCCAGAGAAAGAGAGAGAGAGAGGTCATTCATTCCGCTGGCCCACTCTCCAAGTGACCACAGCAGCCATAGCTGAGTTGATCCGAAGCCAGGAGCCAGGAGCTTCCTCTAGGTCTCCCACGCGGGTACAGGGGCCCAAGGACTTGGGAATCTTGTTCTGCTTTCCCAGGCCATAGCAGAGAGCTGGATCGGAAGTGGAGCAGCCGGGACTAGAACCAGCGCCCAGTGGGTTGTTGGCACTGCAGGCAGAAGCTTAGCCTACTACACTGCAGTGCTGGTCCCATTTTCCATTTGTTGAGTTACACCCGCCCTGCTTGGTGGGAGGTGGTATCTCCCTGTGGTTTGTTTTGCGTCTCCCTAAGCACTACTGCTGTTGATCATCTCCTCCTATGCTGATGGTGTTAGGTCTGGAACAGCTTGGGGTTCTGGCCTCTTGTATCCCCAGAAGGGAGCGATGGAAAAGGGAGACAGAGCCGCGCTCAATGGAGACAGCCAGTTGTTTTGTTGGAACAAGGAGGGACGGCAGCGTGTTCTGGTGAAGAGGCTGTGCGCAGCGCGGCTGTAGGGCTGGGTTTTTACCGGTCTGGGAATGGTGGGGGGCGGGTAATGGAGGAGGATGGGGCAACATGCCCTTTGAAAGTTCTATCCGGGCCGGCGCCGCGGCTCACTAGGCTAATCCTCCGCCTAGCGGCGCCGGCACACCGGGTTCTAGTCCCGGTTGGGGCGCCGGATTCTGTCCCGGTTGCCCCTCTTCCAGGCCAGCTCTCTGCTGTGGCCAGGGAGTGCAGTGGAGGATGGCCCAAGTGCTTGGGCCCTGCACCCCATGGGAGACCAGGAGAAGCACCTGGCTCCTGGCTCCTGCCATCAGATCAGCGTGGTGCACCGGCCGCAGCGCGCCGGCCGCGGCGGCCATTGGAGGGTGAACCAATGGCAAAAGGAAGACCTTTGTCTCTGTCTCTCTCTCTCACTGTCCACTGTGCCTGTCAAAAAAAAAAAAAAAAAGTTCTATCCGAATTCCTTGTCCGTTGGTAGTTGAACTGTCTTACAACAGTAAGTTGCCAAGAGCTCTTTATACGTTCTGGATACTAGCCTCTCAGCACGTGGGATGCCTGGGTGTTTTTGGTGCGTTCTGTAGGTGGTCTTGGTGTCATTTTGATCGACTGTCTCACCCGAGCCCTCTCGACTCACGTGTGCAAACTCTCTCTCCAGCCTCTGTTTCTGTACCTGGCCCTGCAGTCTGTGCACGAGCCCCTGCAGGTGCCCGAGGCGTACCTGAAGCCCTACGACTTCATCCAAGACAAGAAGAGGCAGCACTATGCCGGCATGGTGTCCCTGATGGACGAAGCCGTGGGGAACGTCACGGCAGCCCTGAGGCGCCATGGGCTCTGGAACAACACGGTGCTCATCTTCTCCACGGGTGAGTGTGCCAGGAGGAAGGCCACCTCTTGGCGAAGCCTGGGACGCCGTGTGCGGTAGTGGGATGAGGACAGACGGGCGCGCTCCGTGGGTCCTTGCCGAGACAGACGCGGCCTGCAGAAGTGGGGGTGCGGTCATCGTGGGGAGGACGATGTCTAAAGACAAAGAATTGTGCTCCCTCCGCAGACATCACTCTGTTCTGGGGGTTTGCTCGAAAACAAGGAGTGTGGTGCGTGTGGCTCAGACCAGGGTGGCGGGCAGTGCGTTTGGGGTCTGGCTGTCCCCCCAGCCCAGTCGTCCCCTGTGTCCTGGCTGGAGGGGGCCCTGTGAAGGAGGTGGAGCCGTTTAAGGCTGAGCAGAGTCTGCACGTGCACATTTTTGGATGTCAAAATTGCTCTCTAACACTGAAAGTCATGGACGTTGATTAGAGGAAAAACGCAAGAGTGGGTGGGGGAGGATTCTGTCCTGTTGGCCCCCAGGGACAACTTGGAAAACCGTGTTCATCCTGCTGGTGGCTTCCCGCCCCTAACCTGGCATCTGTGTGACGTCTCCCCCCTCTCCGAGACAGGATTTTCTAAACTTTCCTGGCGATGCACAGGTGTGGGCGTGGTGCTGCCCGCCGGGGTTCTGGCTGGAGACACGGGTCCTCGCACAGGGCGGGGCTCCGTGTCCCAGTGTTGGTGCCCCCAGCCTCTCTCCCATCCCCCGTTCATGAGCTCCAGCCCTTGGGGAGGAGCCCCCACCTCTCAGTTCCTCGGGTTCTTTACATCTTCTCCTATTTTCCTATTTTGTTTTTTTCTGTTTGGGAAACTTCCTTATGATTATGTTGTAAGCTTTCCACTGAATCTATGAGTTTGTGTGTGGATAGCGGTGTGTCTGTAGGTGCACACGTGTGTCTGTGGGTACACATGTGTGCTTGGATGCTCACATGTATCTGCATGTGGGTGCACACGTGTCTGGATGTGGGTGCACACATGTATCTGTGGGTACGCATGTGTGCTTGGATGCTCACTGTATCTGCATGTGGGCACACACGTGTCTGGATGTGGGTGCACACGAGTGTCTGTGGGCACGCATGTGCCTGGATGCACATGTGTGTCGGTGTACACATGTGTGAATTCACACGTGTGTCTGGATGCACATGTGTGTCTGTATGTGGCTACACATGTGCGTCTATGTGCACATGTGTCTGCACACATGTATCTGGGTGCACAGGTGTGTCTGAATTCACATGTGTGGATGCACAGTGGTGTCTGAAGGCACATGTGTGTCTGTATTTGGATGCACATGTGTGCTGTAGGTGCACATGTGTCTGTTGACACACACATGTATCTGGGTGCACAGGGGTGTGTGGATGCATACATGTATCTGTGTGGATGCACAGCTGTGTCTGGATGCACATGTGTGTCTGTGGATGCACACATGTGTATATTGATGCAAACGTGTATCTGTGGGTACACATGTGTGTGGGTGCACAAGTGTGTCTGGATGCACAGGTGTGCCTGTGTGTCTATATGTAGATGCATGCATATTGTTTAAAGTTTATCTGTATTCCCAACTTTGTGTCTCTTCCTTTTACAGTCCTCTTTTTTTTTTTTAATTTTGGTCTGTTGGTATCTTTGCGTTAGTCCTCTGTGAGGGTGGCTTCCCAGACCCTGACGGTCCTTGACTGACATCTAATAAGTTGGGTAACGCCGCAGGTGTGTCGGCCGGCTTCTCATCCGTGCATTCGCTGTGCCGTGACCGTCTGGGGGTGTGAGATGTGCAGGAGTTAATCTCAGTATCCCACTCACAGCTCTTCTGTCTTCAAAGTTTTACTTTGCTTTGAATCAACCTGGTTATCAGGTGTTGCATTCACTGGGTGCTGCTCCCTGTGAGACCCAGGTCTAAGCACTTTGCGTGAGTTCACTGGGCTGATTGTCAGGATAATTAATCCTCTGGGAACTGTTCTGCCATGTCTCACAGGTGTGAGAGCCAAGGCCCAGCAGGGCTGAGGACGGTGCCAGGGTCACGCAGCCGGGCAGAAGCAGGTTGGGGGTTCCGGCTTGCAGCACCTGCCCCGAGGTGGTGACCCTGTGGCACCTGCACCTGCAGCAGAGTTTCCCCGTGATGTCCGTCTGCACTGAGCTCCCTGGGATCGCTCTCCGGGTGCTGTGGTTCCCCAAGCTTGCTCTGCTGTGAAAAGAGCTGACTCCAAGGTAAACCCTGTTGTTGTCTTCAAAACATACGCTCCAAAGAGAGGCTGCGCCTGACTTAAATCCCGGTCAGATCTCTCGTGAGCAGGGCGTCCTTGTCAGCATATCTTGTCTTGAACTCTGGGTCAGTGCTGGTACTGGGTGCCTGATCAAGGACTCCAGAAACAATCAACAAGAAGGAGGCCGGGACATGCGACACGGATTTTCTGGCTGTTGTGGGAAGCAGCCTCAGAACGGCAGGTGTGTTCTGCAGAGGTGACAGTGACACCGTTGCAGGAGGGACAAGAGGGTTCCCGTGCAGGCAGCAGGTGTCAGACAGGCAGAAGTGAAGGTGGGAGCCCGGAGGCCGTGCCAGGCGTCTCAGCGCGGCCCAGCTTGGTGTCTAGAGGCGTGGAAAAGGTGGGAGGTGAGTTTTTCACGATACGTGAGAACAGAAAAATATTTGAAGATCAGTGTTTGCTTTCAAGTGGACGTGGCTAACTAGTTTAGAACAGGTGACATTTCACGAATATCTGTAACATCTATTCATGTTGGCAGAAGTAATATTTGGAGTTCCCCATGAGAAAACCGGGATTGCCTGTAGCCGGGCTGTCTCAGGCTCCGACGCTGTGTCGTGCGAGTGGGTGTCTTAGTCTGGGGTCCTCTTTGCTCTGTTGGGGTGAAGCCCACTGGGTCGTGTCACTGTCCTTCCGTTACTCTGCTGTTTTTAGTCATTTGGGGATTTTGCTTGATGTCAGAGGCGAGCGTAGGCTGCTGGGTTCTTTCTTGCCTGTTATCGGGGCGGATGCGTCCCGAGAGGCGCCCGGCTGCTTTGCCTTTGGTTCTCTGTGCTCTGGGACAGTCTGCAGGGTAGCTGAAAGATCCTCCCAGGGAAGCTGATGTCTAGAAACCTTGTTCTTTAAGACTGATTTGTTTATTTGTAAGGCAGAGTGACAGAGGTGGGGGGAGGGAGCGTCCTTCCACCTGCTGGTTCACTCTGCAAATGGCCTCAGTGGCTGGGGCTGGGGCAGGCTGGAGCCGGGAGCCTGGATCTCCCCCCGGGTCTCACACATGAGTGTGGGGACCCAAGGACTTGGGCCGTCTTCCTCTGCTTTCCCAGGCTGTAGCAGAGAGCTGCATAGGAAGTGGAGCAGCCGGGACTGGGAAGGCGCCCACAGACGATGCCCCAGTGTCACTTGACCCCTTGCCCCAGGACAATGGCCCTGACTCCTGCAATCTTGAGAAATTGTCTCCATGGTGGGAATTTTTTGCTGATCGTATCCAGGTGTGGGTCTGTGAAATACTGTCAGGGAAACTGTGCCTGGAATAGAGTGAGCCGTCTGCGCCGAGCGGATCGTTCCTGGCCGGGAGTCTTCCTCGTTCCTGTTTCGGCTTCCCGCGTTTGCTCACCCGCGTCAGAGGCCCGGCCTCGGCCTCGCCCGTCCTGTTCCATTCCGGGCTGCCTGTTGGACACTTGCATCCCGTCTCTGTGCTTCGGTGTCTCGGGCGGCTTGTTGCTGATTGCTGTTGTGTTGTCTTTGCCTCCGTCAGTTCCCGCCCCAGCTTCTCGGTGGTCACAGGACCACTGCGGGGGGCGCTGCCTGCAGGCCCTCGCTGGCTTTCTCCTGTACCCTCTCGCGATCCCCACAGCCTGAGCGCCGGTGCTTACAGTGACCTTGGCACGTGCATTTCTTGAGCCCCATTTAACCAGCTAAGAAAGCAAGACTTGTTGGACTGCTCAAAGGGGTAAAGTTCACCAATGCCTGAGGCCACACAGTAGCAGGAGGGAGAGCCAGGTGCAGACCTGGAGCCTGGAGAGGTCACGTGAGGAGCTGCCTGCCAGCCTCAGCTCTCCCTTCTCCCTCCCCTGGCTTGTCCTTCGTGTCTGCTCTCTGCTTCCTACACTTCTGCCCTGAGAACCCGCATCTTCCTGACTCTTCTGCTGCAGAACTTTCTAGAATCCTTTCCTGCTGAATGGTTCCTGGCCACCTGCTCCCCATAGGGCGTGCCCATGCGCTGGTATAGTTCTCTGTGCCACCTGCTGTGTTCCCAGAGGCGTCCAGGCTGTCGGTGTCCTGTCTGCCTGGCTGCACCGTCTCCTCTGTGGGTCCCTGGCTCGTCGGCAGCATGGGGAACCCCAGCACAGATTCCCGGCTCCTCCTGCCTCCGGCACTTCAGAGCCTGCCTTCTGGGGATGTACCAGGACCTTGCGTGCCCTCCCCCCCCCCTGCCCACTGCCTTCTGGGAGCTCTGGTGTCTCCCTGCAAGCAGAAAGCCGAGGAGGGCCTAATTTTCTGGTCTTTTTTTTTTTTTTAAAGATTTATTTATTTATTTGAAAGGTTACACACAGAGAGAAGGAGAGGCAGAGAGAGAGAGAGGTCTTCCATCCGCTGGTTCATTCCCCAGATGGCTGCAGTGGCCAGAGCTGCGTGGATCAGAAGCCTGGAGACAGGGTTTTCTTCAGGGTCACCCATGTGGGTTCAGGGGTCCAAGAACCTGGCCCATCTTCTACTGCTTTCCCAGGCCATTGCTGGATCGGAAGTGGAGCAGCCAGGACTGGAACCAGCACCCATATGGGATGCCTGCACTGCAGGAGGCGGCTTTTACGTACTGTGCCACAGCACTGGTCCCATAATTCTCTGGTCTTGTAAACACACACACATACACACACACACACACACACACACACACACACTCCCCGGCTGTCTTCCTGCCTCTGTTCAGGGCCTCTGGGCCACAAGGCCGGCACAGCATCCTGGCCCAGCTTTTTGGCCTGGTACTTCACGGCAAGCTCTCCAGGATCCTGTCAGCCTCGACTCCCCGGGTG